TTTTGTCCTTGAGTCCAAAAAAGTATTTCTGAAACAAAACAACTAATTTAAAGATTTACCCTGATTACAGTACGTAGATACGTTTCCATCCAATTTGGTGCCAAATTATCATGCAAATATTCAAAATATCCATAAAAAAATATGGGCATTTCCCCAAATAGAGATGTGTTTCTCAAACTTTTGCAGATAAAAGGGTAGGGCTTTAAAGACGCAGTCAATAGAAATTACTTTCCCAAGTAAATTCCAATGTACTAAATAAAAATACCAATTTAAATGTGTTTCCATCGCAATCAAAGCTAGGGTTTTTTGTTAAAAAAAACGGGTTGCGTTATAAGCAAAAGTGCCCACTGGTATTGGCCATTTTGCCTCTACCAACAGTTTGCAGATACATGCGGGTAGGCTAGCCTACATTGAGAGTTTTAGGGAAAAGGGAAAAAGACAATTTCTATTGAAAGGGCAAGCCAAGCATAGATCATTATGTCCCCAAAAAGAAAATAAGACCTCAATATTTACTGCTCGTTAACCTGGTGGCGGGCAGGAAGATCGGAATGCCAAAAGAAACAAAGAGGTTGTGAGGTCAAATCCCAAGTGAGGAAAAAATTACTTTATAAAAATGCAAATGTAATCATGTATGCAATCATCAAACATGTGTCAAATATGTAAGTTTAAAAATTGTACGTCAAATGCACTGTGTGTGTATATTCCTGTCACGATCTCGGAAAAACAGAGGAGGCCCCAAAGGCGCAGGTGGAACAACATATTTATTTATAGAAAGTATCAACAACGAACAAAACGAAAACGTGACGTCCCCGGGTTTACATACACAAACCCAAACACGGAACAAGAAACCCAAACCCCCAATGAATCCCTAACGGCTACTTAAGTATGGCTCCCAATCAGGCCCAACAGCTACAGCCGTCTCTGTTGGGAGCCACCCTGGCCAACATAAAAATAAAACCCAACTAGAACAAACACAAATGAAAACTCACACCCCTGGCTCAACATACTAGAGTCCCAGAGCCAGGGCGTGACAGACCCCCCTGAAGGGCTCGGGGGAGGGACCCGGGTGGGCACTCCGCCTTGGCGGCGGATCGGCTCCGGGCATGACCCCACTCCTCTCTAACCCCCCAAAGTCCCCTTGGTCCGTCTGGCCTGCTGACTGATTGGTGCGGGGAGCAGGAACGGGCCGAGCCGGGCCTGACGAAGCGCACCAACTGACTTGGTGCGGGGAGCAGGAGTTGCGGCAGAGCCGGCTGACGAATCTCACCATTGGCTTGGTTGCGGGGGAGCAGGTAACGGGCCGAACTGGCTGGCGACGCACCACCCACAGGCTCGGTGCGAGGGACAGGAACAGGCCGGACCGTACTGGGGTCAACATCACACCACTGGCCCTACGCGGGGATCAGGAACGGGCCGGACCAGACTGGTAACACACCCAGTACCTCTCGCCGTGCTCTAACACTCTCCTCCCCTTTAGTGACCAGTGGCCCCCGTAACCTGGCGGCCTCCTCTACTAAACCGCTCCATCGCGGCCCCCTGCTGCCCCGTCGTCCACGGCGTGAGCCCCCCCCCTAAAAAATTTCTGGCCGTCTCTTCCTACCCGTGGACCAGGTCTCCATGTTCCCTCGCCAGACCTTCGCCCTTCTGCTTCCAAGTCCGGCCCTTCTCTTCCTCACCCGTCTTGACCCAGTCGAGGAGGCGAAGGAGATCTGCTAGAGATCTCCCTGGCGATGGCTCCTGGACACGCTGCTTGGTCCAGTCTTGGTGGTTTCTTCTGTCACGATCGTCGGGAACAGAGGAGGACCAAGGCGCAGCGTGGAATGCGAACATATTTATTTAGAGAAAGTATCACACGAACAAAACGAAAACGTGACGTCCCTGGTTACATACACAAACCAACACGGAACAAGAAACCACACCCAATGAATGCCTAACGGCTACTTAAGTATGGCTCCCAATCAGAGACAACAAGCTACAGCCGTCTCTGATTGGGAGCCACCCTGGCCAACATAGAAATACAACAACTAGAACAAACACAAATGAAAACTCACACCCTGGCTCAACATACTAGAGTCCCCAGAGCCAGGGCGTGACAGTTCCACAGCCTTTTTTAGGTAAGATGCCCAAATAATAATTTATATTTTTATAAACATATGAGACAAGTTGAGCAAAACACATCATTTTAAGTTAAGAAAATGTAGGCAAAAATTAAATCAAGTTGGAAGTTAGTTTGGGCCAACATTTTTTTTTTAGTTTAGGTAATACTTGGACTGGAAAGTTGAGTAAACAAAGAAAAAGGCTGTGGAATCCGTTACTTAATAATAAGTACTTGAAACAAGTAGATATGTTTTACAGTGTGGTCTGACGGCGCCCTCTGATGTCATTGGCCTCTCCCGTTGCTTGTGGGAACAATAGAGGAGCAATAGAAAACTAAAAAGGAAAAGCCCACTCTCCAACTTGTGCAATGTCATGAGCACACTCACTCATCTTTGCTCGCTCCTTGGAGTATTTTTTAAAATTATATTTTAAGTAAAGGTGATAAATTAGGTGAAAAGGAGACGAGTGTGATTTTAGCATTGCCAATATGGTCAAACTAGCTACGTTATCCACATTTATAACGTTCGTAATTGTCAAAAACAGATTTGTTGTCATCTTTTGGAAACGGTGAAAGACCAGGTGGTAAAACATGACAACTCAGCAGCTCTGGTTGCAAAAATTTTCAGAGTTTCCAACTTGTAAATACAAATTGGAGGGTCGTTCAAGTTCAATTCCGAGAAACAAGTGCACGCCCCACTTGCGTAAAGAGGCAGGCTTTCTATGAATAAATAAATTGTAGTTGTGATGAGGGCTTGATCACCCACTGGCCAATGAAAACCTGCTCCAAAGCTTTTTATGTGTTTGCTTCAAGTTATCTATTTACAGTGTTTGTTCCGCTGTCATTCCAATTTGGCAGGAGGGCATGGCTGTTTGCCCTATCCATTGATGATAGTTTATTAAACAGTAACCCTGTAATAGGCCTTGTTATAACAAACATGTATCTAGTTTGTTACATCAAAAAAGTTATTGGTTTCAACAGAATATTAGCCTGGAAATAATTGGCTTCAAAATAGATAGGCTACTGATTGGCTGTGCGCCTCCACTGGTGGTAAAATCAATGTCATAACCTGTAAGCAGTCGATGGACAAGGTATGACAGCAATGGTTTCAAATGCTGACTTTTAAGCATTTGTGGCACAAATCCAATGCATGTCAATGGTAACTACATGAAGTGCGAAAATGCTAATATATGTACCATTGAGCTGATGTTAGACAGGTAAATTACGAACCCTGGCTCAAGGTATTTGGTATTTATTAGGAGGTATTTATTAGGATCCCCATTAGCCGCTGCAAAAGCATCAGCTACTCTTCCTGGGGTCCACATGA